GCATCTTGGTGTTCTCCCTTTTAACAGAACATTTTAAGTGTTTCAGCGTATCAGATCAGTCGTCGGATAGTTATGACTAATAAGGATAAGAGGTCATACAAATATAGTTTGTCATGTGACCAGTTTTGTGGCTTCTTGTTTGCCATGGCAAGCTCGGGGACTGGACCTTGGTCGAATTGAAGGTCGTGACGGGCAGGTAGTGACGTCCAAGAGAGCCGAGGGGGAAGTGGGTGAGATCAAGCCGTTTTCCAAAACCTTGATGTGCCGCTTACCACCGGGGAAGCCAAAACAACAGCCATAAGAACAATTGGCTGCATAAGGTTTTTACACACACCACACACACACACACACACACACCACCACAACACACGCCACAACACACCCACAACACCCAAACAACAGGGGCGACTGTGTGCTGGTTGAGGGAGTGGGTGGGTCCCGTCCTTTTCAACCAAGGAGGTTTTGGGTTTGGGTTCGGATCCCCCCCCAGCCCATAGGCAAGTCAACAATGTCGAAATTGTAAAATCCCTTTGTTTGGGCAAAATACTTACCCTGAAAAGGGTTTGCCCTCCCCGATGGGCAAAAAATTATGGGGCCAGGTGTTTGGGGTGGAAAAGTGTTGTGAATGTTTTTAGGTTCCTAGAGTTTAAAGGTAAAACAACTGCTTTTCTGTTTTTTTGAAGGGGTGTTGTGTGTAAAATGGACCTGTACTATATAGCGGCCTTTTTATCGTCTTTTTAAGAACCCCTCCAAGCCCCGCTAAAAAAACATATACCCCCATGGTCATTCCACCCATCCCACCCTTCAACAGAAAGCAGTGGTAAAACCTTAACTCTAAGGAACCTAACATTCCCACACAACATCCACACACGGGGTGGCATGCATTTCGGAGGCAACTCCAGGGGTTTAAGTTATCTTTGGCCAAAGGTAAACATCGACATGTTGACCTGCTGGGCCTTGGGGAAATGCCCGAACCACCAAAACCTTTTGGGTGAAAGAACCGAAAACCACATTCCCTCACACCAGTCCGCCCTGTGGGTGTGTGTGTGTGTTTGTGGGTTTTGTGTTGTGGTGTTGGGTGTTTTGTGTTGTTTGTGTGGTTTGTGTGGTTGTTGTGTTGTACCTATTTTGCAAGCCATTTGGTTTCCCCTTATGGCCCTGTTTGGGTGGCCTCCCCCGGGGGTGGTTAAGCGCAAACATTCAGTGGAACGGTGGGGGTGATCTCAAAAACACTCCTCGCCCCCTCGCTCTCTGACCGTCACTCCCTGCCGTCAACGGACCCTTCAATTCGACCCAAGGTCAGTCCCCGAGGCTGCCATGGCTAACAAGAAGCACAAACTGGTCACATGACAACTATATTTGTATTGCCTCTATCCTATTAGTTCATAACTATCCGACAGACTTGATCTGATACGCTGAAACAACTTAAAATGTTCTGTTAAAAGGGAGAATCACCAAAGATGCTCGACGTGGCACTTGAATAGAAAAATGAAACAAAGTGTCTGAATGCAGGTATATCGTAACAAAATATTATATATCTAAACTCACCACTAATGAGACTCCATGGTGAACAAGGGAAGTGGAGGCGTAGAGGTGGGAGTCCAATTTTCCTACATAAAGAGTGGGTCTTAAAGAGAAAAAAGGGTCATGTTATTCTCTCAAACGATTGATTATATATTAGAAAAACCTAGAAAATGTACGGATTTTTATCAAATGGTATAGGATTCCCGACAACAAATAAATGTTGCCTTCCTAGCCCAGAGGCGGAAATGATTAAATTAAATTAAATAATACGGACAAAGGCTTGGCTATTCGAGCGGAGAGATTAAATTGAAAAAATTAAAAGAACCTCATAAACATACCTTGCCTCATCATACTTGTCATGTCCCAAACAACAACCAATCTCAACCTCATTGTTCAAAAATAAACTTTTTAACTTAAAGTGGACCTATCATGATGCTATATTTGAATAATATATTTTAGGGCCATACCTATATAAAACATGTCTGTGAAGTTTTTTTTTCAAAATACCAAACAGGTCATGCATTTTAGCCATGCATCATTTCGCTCTATTTGCTCTATTCCAGCCGTGTTTTTGCAAGGGCTGAATCTGAGAGAAGTCTTCTTCGCTGCTTTTGTGGCAGACTAAAGTGCCACTTACAGGCCTGGCATATGTACTACAGCGTCTCCAGCGCTTTCAAGCGCCAATGGCTGTGGCCCAACCCCCCATTCCCATGATAGGTGGAGAGTTGCCCATATAGGCGGAGCACCCCTTTTCTGACTCAATTCAAATCTGTATCAGCTCCGTTGTAGCGCCGTTTTTAGAGATTTGGGTACGGAGGAAAAGAGAGAGGGTTGTGTTTTCTGACACTTGGTGAGTTCCCTGACACACCGGGGACACATGTTCATGTATAAAAGATGTACAAAAGTGCATTTTGCATGATAGGTCCCCTTTAAGTGTAATTGTCATAACGTTTTTTCTGATCTAACACCAAGCGATTTCCTGTTTTTTTGTTATAACCTATTTTTCCACCTATAAAAAATACATTTTAAGAGCATATGGTGTTTCACATTTTAGTGACAAATGAAACAAAAATGCCATACAGATTAGTTTGAAATCCAAATGTTTCATTATAATATAGCCAAAGAAAACGGTTTCTTCTGATTGGCTTGCAGGAGTTCCTAAAAAGATATAACCAGACACCTCCAACAGCTCCAGCTGACAGTTTGAGAGCTGCTGTAAATCAGAGCAGCAGTTACTGGAGATTAAACCGCACTACTAGAACTCCATGCTGCATTACTAGTGGCAGAGCAGACCTAACCAAGGGATGAACAGAATAAAGGCAAGCTTTTTAACAGTTATTTCCCTTTCTCTGTACTAAATAGATGGGAAGTGTGGATTATAATATAACCCAAGAGGAAATAACAGACTCAGCACTTCTTGCTCTGCCTTGTCTATTTAATGTGTGTGTCAGTGAATCATCACTTACTTGAGTGACTAGAACAATGCCTTTTGCTGTAGAGGCAAATTGGAAAAGTGTTGGCAAAGCTTTGAGCAGTCTGAGAGTTTTTCTAGTTACCACTTCAATAAATAATGTGATCCGACAGATACATTGCTGCTGAAAGCTCTCTCACTGTCATGTATAACACAATTTCTCTTACACAAGTTGTGCTTGAGCCGTGGCTTGCTCCTTCACAAACTGATAGCTCCACTTCAGAGTCGAGTGTGCGTCTGCCTGGTCGTTTGCAGAGGAAAAGGTGAGGAAGCGCAGCGTTTCCATGGCGAGGGACAGGTGGGGGGCGTGTCTTAGTGAGTCACCAGAGTACAGATAGACCCCCACTACAGGAGACCCGTAATTCTGACTCCACAAGACGTCACCTGAAACACAGAAAAACACACTTGAGAGAAGGTAGAGATGAAGATAGAGGAATACATCAACCTCTCACACATATAGAAGATGATCAAATATTCACTTAGTAAAAACCACACACCTCCCCCTACCTGTTTCTCTGTCAACTGTCACAACGAGACCATCGCCGCTCGACACAAGATGGGCCATCTCTAAGAGTCAAACAGGTAGGATAAGTTAGTATTAGAGAAGCTGAAGAAAGTCCTCAATCTTGAACGTAGTTTGCTTTTAAATATAAATATTAAAAGAGAAAGCACACACAGAACAAATACATCCACTAAGCCAGCATAATCCTTAAACTCTGTCATTTGATTGGGGCTTTCGCCTACTGAAGAAAGTGCAGCAACATTTCTTATTTGTATTAGACATTTTCTGCTTTTTTGAGTTTTAAATATGTGTGTGGGAGTAATACACTGAACAAAAATATAAACGCAACACTTTTGTTTTTGCTCCAATTTTTCATGAGATTAACTCAAAGATCTAAAACATTTTCTATTTACACAAAATAACCATTTCTCTCAAATATTGTTCACAAATCTGAAAAAATCTGTGATAGTGAGCACTTCTCCTTTGCCGAGATAATCCATCCCACCTCACAGGTGTGGCATATCAAGATGCTGATTAGACAGCATGATTATTGCACAGGTGTGCCTTAGGCTGGCCACAATAAAAGGCCACTCTGAAACGTGCAGTTTTGCTTTATTGGGGGGGTCTGGGGGGGTCCGAAAACCAGTCAGTGTCTGGTGTGAGGGCTTAGGGAATGCTCCGGTTTTTGGACAAAATTAACATGGGATCACTCCGGTCAATGTACGTACTTAGTCTCACTGGAATATTAATGGCCAGATTGAATACAACATCGACCCAATTTCTCCGGTCAATGACAGGAGAGTTTTGAAAGTGACAAAACACTGTTCCACACATTTAAAAACACTTAATCAATGTTTACCCAGGATCCATGCACCTTCCCTGGCTTGTAAAATGTGGTGATGCGCCTTGGAGGTATCCTACTATTTAAAACATGTATACACTCATGTACACCATTCATAGGGTTCCCTAACACAATGCACATAGTCTGGAGCTCTCACTGGGGTCCTGCATATGCTTTAATCAGGATTGTCCATTTGGCTATCAGATTGTTAACGAAATGGACAGATCTACAGTTTACCCCTAAAAATGATTTTAAATCATTATCTTTGCATTTAAATGATGGATGCTATCATCCACATGGTTCCTTAACACAATGCACATAGTCTGGAGCTCACTGGGGTCCTGCACAAGCTTTAATCAGGCTTGTCCATTTGCCTATCAGTTTGTTAACGAAACGGACAGATCCACCGTTTTCCCCCTAAAAATGATTTTTAATCGTTGTCTTTGCATTTAAATGATGGATGCTATCATCCACATGGTTCCTTAACACAATGCACATAGTCTGGAGCTCACTGGGGTCCTGCACAAGCTTTAATCAGGCTTGTCCATTTGCCTATCAGTTTGTTAACGAAATGGACAGATCCACCGTTTTCCCCCTAAAAATGATTTTTAATCGTTGTCTTTGCATTTAAATGATGGATGCTGTCATCCATATGGTTCCTTAACACAATGCACATAGTCTGGACCTCACTGGGGTCCTGCATATGCTTTAATCAGGCGTTTTAACACTTTTTCCCCACGAAAATGATTTTTAAACACTTTTATGGGGCTATATAAATCAAATTCCGGGTAATGCGGAGCACAATTGTACTTTTTACTATTTTAATGTATTTGTATTATATATCTTTGGGCTATAAAAGTGAAATTTTTGGATGACTTTGTCAGTTTATGGAGCTTATCCCAAAAATCCTGGAGGTTCCAGGCCGAATTTGGGAGCTCATACGCGGCCTGCCATAGGCCCCCACCCGTGGAAAGAAAAAAGATGAAAGAAAACGGTCAATTATATCTTAAAATAATCAAAAATGAAGTTTTTGGTAAAGTGCCAAAAAGCTCAACCCTTCGGCGCTTCGGGCCGAAGCCCCGGAGACTTTTCCACCCCCCCGTTGCAACTTACAATGGAGAGGGGAATCTAAGCCTCCCCTTCTCTGTCAAAAAAATTCATTCATCATTTTCAGACTACTGTCCGCACAAAATCGGAAACCCAGTTTTTGAGAGGACTCAAACGGCTGTGTAACATCATGGAGGAATTCATCCGCTCTCTGTGCACTTTGGCTCGGATACACTTGTTGCCTCGGAGACCCCCCAGCATGGTTCTTAACAAACTTTAAGTTTTTTAAATGACCTCTGGAGGAATGCAAGGGGAGTTTGATGGGACTTTACCTGCCTTATGAGGCACTATTTTCGGATACTTTTTCTCATTTTCACCCCTTTTCTATGGATGTCCAAAAAGTTAACTTAGACTTTTTCTGAGTCTGGAGGAATGTAAGGGGAGTTGTCAGGGGACTCTACCCGCATTATGAGGCAGTATTTTGGGATACATTTTTTCATTTTCACCCATTTTCTATGGTTCTCCAAAAAGTTGACTTAGACTTTTTCTGAGTCTGGAGGAATGCAAAGGGAGTTGGCAGGGGACTCTACCAGCATTATGAGGCACTATTTTCGGATACATTTTTTCATTTTCATCCCTTTTTTATGGATGTCACAGATCGAATGACAAACGCGACCCGCCATCGGAGGGCCTCCACCGGCCCGGCCTCGTGCCGGTGCTCTGGCGGTCGGTTCCTCCGAACTGCGGGTTCGACTCTGATGGCCGGGAGGGACGAGGGAACCGTCGGGGGGGTCTGCTGGAGGCTCCTGCTGGAGTCCTGCGTTTCACTGGGACCTGGCTCGAAAAATTCGAAACCCTGACTCATTACATTACATTACATTGCATTTAGCTGACGCTTTTATCCAAAGCGACTTACAATAAGTGCATTCGACCAGGAAGATACAACCTTGAAGAAAACAGAATCATATAAGTACATCAGGTTTCATAGAGACAAACATTTCAAGTGCTACTCAACTGGCTTTAGAAAAGCCAGCCCTTTATTAGTATATAAGTGCTTTGTTAGTAATTCAATCGCTCGAAGTGGAGTCTAAAGAGATGAGTTTTCAGTCGTCGCCGGAAGATGTGTAAGCTTTCTGCTGTCCTGATTTCAATGGGGAGCTCATTCCACCATGGGCGACGGCCTTGGGCACTCCCTTGGGACTCAGTTCTGCCAATGTCAGAACTTTGCGAAGTATTAGCCAGCCCAGGCCATCATTCTTCTGTGCGTCCCATTGCCTGTGGCGTCCAATGGGGAGTTGACGTCGTGTGCGTCGTCGTGCCTCCTCCGTCCCCTCAGTCCATGGGGCCTCCGCGTGCCGGGCGGGTGTTCATTATAGGCGTGACCTCCAATCATAAGCAACAAATTTATCTGAAGAGACAAAGTAACTAAAGATAGAGACATAATTAACAAGAGACATCAATAACATCGATTTTGACGCTAAAAAGCACTCTCTAAAATTTAGAGTTCTAGACGAGTTGAGTTGGACCATTCTGTCCAGAGGTCAACCAGTGCGCGGAATTGAGACGTAATGGTATCCGTCCTTGTGAACGACAGCGGGTAGTCGACTTTTATCAATTGATTAATCTCCCCGCACGGGGTGTCGACACTCTCGAGTGGTAGTCCGTCACAGGTAGGATCCCACCGAGAGAAGGACCTCGGCAGTCAAGTCGAAGTCGGTCTGGCTTCTGACTGTTTCTGTAACCTCAGGACAACTCAGTGCTCCCTTCGTTCTCCTCTCGGTTTGGATGAAACTAACTCGGATTCTATAGCGACCACAAAACAAAAACAAAACAAAAATAGTTAAGAGAAACCAAGAGCATCGATATTAAGTACACCATTTAAAAGAGGTAAGGGACAAGTACACAGGAGAAGCGTTAAGTAGCTAGGCCACATGACGAGTTGTTAACTAAATTGGCCGGACGAGAACAGATAAGGGTGTACGAGGTGACTCTGGGTTGTAGAGCAAAGTCCCTCAGGACAACCTTGACAGGTCAGTCGACAAGGATTCCTGACTGAAGTAGAGACGATAGCGAAGGACGTCAGAGACCTTAAAGGAACGAGAGTGCCTCTGGACTATTGAGGTAGGTTGTGTAGCGTGGCAGGTCGTCGAGAGAGACGTGTCGTATAAGGAAGAAGGTATGTGGGTCTGGGAGACCGTCTCCTCCCACCGGTGACCAGAGGACGAGAGAGGGTTGACCCTCGAAAAGGGAGAGTTCGATGGAATTGAAGTGGGGAAGGTGGAAACTTAACAACACTTAAGGTACGGCAGTGTCATTGGTAGGATATGTTAATTGGTAACAACAAGAATGCAGGGTGGGAGTCCGCGGAACCCCTGAAGAACCTCCTTAATCTCATTAGAGGAGAGGTGTGTAGGGACTTCTGACCGGGGAGGGCGACATGAAGAGCCGTCTGAAGGTTGGAGGTCTGTCCCTTCTATCTCGTTTGATTGTAGAGACAATTCGGTGGGAAACGAAAAGAGTGACAGAGGTAGGGGTGGTAGTATTGCGACCGTTACAGAAACTAAGTATAAGAGTTCCTTACGTGATGAAGATTGGAGTGACCTTTAGTGTAGCTAGTGAAAAAGTAAAGTAAGAGGATTCGGGAAATTTTATTTGTGATTAGAGAAGTTAAGACGTGGAACAAGCTTAAGCAAGAAGGGAATGGAACCGAGTGAGGCCACGAGTCGCATGAGGAGCTAAACAAGTTAGACAGTTTGAACCGACGTTTGTAGAGAATGAGGAGAGTAGGAAGACCTGAGAGGACAGGAGGGAGTATAGAGCCGCTTGAAAAGACAAGTCAAGACGAGACCCATTTATTGCGGCGCACGATTATCTTGTGGTAGAAAGCCCCGTCGTTCTCGCCTTTACGCCTGCTTTAGGTTTGTTACTGCTGGAGGATAATAGTCACCGAGAAGCAGAGGAGTGAAAAGAGGAAGAGGAGAACGTCGCGTTGTCCGAAAGAAAGGTTCTATTCTAGTAGAAGGATAGGTTAAGGTTTTATGATTAAAATAGAGAGGGGGACCTGGCCCGGGTTTCGGGGAGGTTGTGAGGAGGTAAAAGACAGGTTCGCGAAACAATTTGGGTGAAACTTTATTCAACTACTATCAAGGCGCACGAAGGGAAAGACTGAGTGGAAAAGTAAGACGTGGCCGAACCTAAGCGTCGGTGGAAGTGTGTGTGACTGGAGTGAAAGATGGTGAGAAAGAGGTTCACTACCAAATAGAATTGGGGTGAGTAAAGAGCCCCGGGCTCAGAGGTGGACAGTAGACCCCCGAATGTGGGAGTGGAGAAGTTGACCAGGACTATAATGTGGCCCAAGAGGGGGTGGGGTAAACAGAGGAAGAGATAAGACAAGTGAAAGGTGTCAGAGTCCTCCCTCTGGAGAGATGGGAGTAGTGGCAGTCACAAGATGTCCGACAGAGAGAGAGGGGTGCAAAAGAACCCAATTTGTGAATCTGCGCGACATGAAATGTTGAGAGAGGGACAATAAGGTAGTCTAGTTTGAAAGACCTAGGCGTGGTCAGTAATAATCTCCGGTGTTCCAGTGGAGTTGCTACTGTGTGTAGTGGTGAAACGTATAGTATGTGTTGACCGATTTGCGTCAGAGGGAGGGGAGTAGGACGGAGAGTAACTTGTAATTGCCTCTCTTGTGTGCCGTTGTGGTAGGTTGCTAGCGAGGAAACGTGACGCAGTTCTTGAAACCCAAAGTTCCGTGACGTGAAATGAGGAGTGAGTATGAGTTTCTGGAACCCCGTGGATGTCCCCCAATGAACCGTCTCCCGAGTCTTTAGGCCTGGAACAGTGAATTGATCGTCCCCCATGGAGGTCCCGAGACAAGGAGCCAGCGGGGGGAGGGCGAAGGATTAGCGGGTCCATTCGACGTCACATAGCGAGTCGGCCTAGTCCAGTAAGAGTCGTGGCGTTAAACAAAGGTAAGTTTGGTGCACCGACGTATTCGTCTGCTGAGCTTGAGTTTGGAATTATGACAGCGACATCGTTGGGTCCCTCCTTTTTGTGCGAGGCGTATGTGACGGATTATACGTGTGTCCTGTCTGGTAGAGTGTGCACCTGTGTGTGTGTAGTGTCTTGTGAGTGTGTAGTGTGTGTGTGTGCTGTGGTGTGTGTGTGTGTGTGTTGTGTGTCGGTGTGTGTGTGTGGAGTGTGTTAGTGTGTGTGTGTGTGTGGTCCCAGTCCGTCTGTGTCGTGGTGTGTGTGTGTGTGTGTGCCTTGTGACCTGACCACGTAGACTCCGTCCCGTTTATGATGGAAACGATTTGTAACGACCGATGTTCATACGATAGCATATATGTTTACGTGCCTTTATCAATTGCACTTACCGACTTTTTCTTATCCGTCAATGATCAGGTCCGAGAGCAGTATGAGTTCACAACTGATAGACGTTGTAGACCTTACATATGACCGTACTTTTAGCGCTGCGAGACGTCGAGTAAGCTCTACCGTCGGCCGAGTAAGACCATAATGAAGTTGTTTATTTAAGGGCGGTGTGGTGCATCATTACCTGTGTAGTAAGCTGTCTGTGTGTGAGGCGAGGGAGTGACGAAGGTCATTGACGGATCTTTAACGGTGAAGTTCTGTGACCATGAACGCATGGTAGCGACGCTTACCTAGGACCGGGGAAGGATGTAGGTCCTGTACCAATTTGGGCATGTAGGGGTCGTGCACGTGGTAGGCGAGCTCTCGTAGTCGGGTTTCGTCGAGCCGACGTGGGCGTGACGCTCCCCCTTGGGGTCAAGGGCAGTCGTTTTTGTTGCACCCAAACGATTAAGGAC